GGGAGGGTGGGCAGGCTTGCAAGGTATACCCTGGGGTTGGTCGATGATGCATGGAGGGGATTGTAACCATGGCAATGAAATGATATGATAGGATTAATGTAAAACTAATGTTCTCCCATGTAAGCTATCACATAATTCACAATAAAACATGTAAAAGAAAAATAAGCAATCACCTTTTTCTAGAGCATTTAGTCCTTCTTTTCTCTGATTCATTCAGAGCTTCTGTCTCTGAATGACCTTGTGAGATCATCATAAAATATGAATAGACTTGTGCATTGCAAATGTCTTTGCCCTAAGGAGATTGAGCACCCTGGACACAGAAAGGCCAGAGAGCTTGCACAGGACTGAATAAGGTCCACCTTTCAAACTTGGTAAATACTGCTTCCTATCTTAAAACGATGCTGAGTTAAAATCTGATCAAATCATTGGGTGTTGCAATCAACTCAATGGCAACTAACAACAAGGGGTTGGAGGATCAGTGAAAATATGACACATCATACACATTTTTAAAATATGAATTTTCTCACTTCAAATAATATTACTGGTGGACAATTTTGAAGTATATAAGAGAAACAAGGAGTTATAATGCATTGGTGGTCTATTAATGAACTTGAGTAGAAGTAATTATGGTATTCACTGTAGCAAAGTTGTTGTTAAGTGCTGTCAAATCAATTCTGATCCATAGCAACACTGTATAGGGCTTCCAAGGAGCAGCTGGTGAGCTTGAACAGCTGACTTTGTAGCTCGAATGGCTTTGCAGTCCGGCGCATTAACCCACAGTGCCACAAGACAATGAAAATAACCAGGCTCATCTTTAGGAGACTGGACCACACTCAGAAGAGACAACCTGTATGTCTGTTTCCCACCTTCTCCCCGCCCCCCCAATATTATCCAACTCAAACCAGAAATAGAGGTAATAAAGGAAGAACAAAACAGAAAAGTTAGAGGAAGCAGTGGTAAAGCAAGCCTGGAAGACCAAAATAAGGGATGGGAAAGAAAAGAAAAAGAAAAAGTTCTGCTCTGAGGACTAAAATGAAAAAGAAGCAAAACTCAGAAATTGAATTGAGAGGGGCTCAAAGAATGTGAAGGGTAGGAACTCAGCTATGTTAATTACGTTGGAACAAAATTAAAGGCAAATGGACATATTTCTCTTATGTAAGGCTTAGATTAAACTTTTTGCTGATTTTAGGTACCCCCCCATCCTGTATTAATTTATAAAATTCTAAAAACTTGTTGAAGATCATGGTTTTGAACTTCATATGTATTAACTCATGTGCCCAATGCAGAAATGTTTGCAATTTGGATTTATAAATGAAAATAAAGAGACTTTAAT